GAACTGACTTGAGAATAAGAAAGGACTCGATGTTAGAAATAACACACTCGGTGAAAATGATATGCAGAGTATAATTCCCCTGCAGGCTTCTGTCTCCTGCTTATACACTCTTGGGTTAGAAAGTGAAGACTTAATTTAAAGAACTTAGGTTTACGCCAATATTTCAAGTCCATTTACAGTAAGTGAAATATTCAAGAAGGTGGTTTTTTTTTTTCCCCCCTTTTTCCCTCCAGAGCTGTATGGTGACATCTTAATGTATCAGCCTATCCTCCTCTATCCTCTCTTCTGACTGGCAGCGTGTCCATTTACAAGCACAATATTCCCTTTGAAATCTGTCATTACTGCCATTAATGACCAGTCGTTATGTTAACAGCCCTTGGGCTGTTAACATGTCAAACTGGTTGTTAACTGGAATGTTATTACTTATTTAAACCGCAGGTACAAGTTGTGTGAAATGGGTTGTGCTTTCTGGGCTGCTTCTGCTCAAAACAATAGAGAAACAGCAGAGCGTTTGCCTTTGGGGTGCCGAGGGATTTGCTTTCTGTTCCATCTGCTCATTTGGTTTCTGCATATTTGTGAGGTCCTCCCACCCCTTGGGCAGCCTCCCAATTTCAGGTGCAACTGCGTGCGATCCCGTCTCTTGGCCTTGCGCGCAAACGGGCCGCCGCGGATGTTTTTCCAGATGCGCAGTAATGCCTGCCGCACATTCGAGATGAATATCTGGCCCCTAAAAGCGCAAAATGAAAGACCAACAATTACATGTAACTCAGTTGTATTAAATAATGAGCTTCCTCGGATGCAGCGAAAATATGAAAGTACAGCTGTGCTAAGCTGGTAGCAATGTAGGTCAATCACCCTTTTCACTTAGGTTTTTAACTACGCAAACCCTGCTGGGCGACCAATGACTACAAAGTGCTGTTTCATTCCTATTTAATTTTGGCAGCGTTTTACTGAAGAGCAGGCATTCATGCAGCTAAATTATCTTCACCGTTTCTGGTTTTAACTCCAGCTCCATGACACTAAATGTTGGAGTGCATATCTCTTAGTAAACACAAAGAGTATGGTTTCTGATTTCTTTTTTTTTTTTTTTTCCCAAATCTATCTCTTAACATGGAAATTGAATTAGAACTTTTATTACTTTTTGCATAATTTCCCTAGCCAGGCAAACAGATCATAGGAAAAGGATTAACGAAACTAATATATTGGGGTGGAATTTTTGCCCTTAAACGCGTCTAGAACCTTATTGAGGACTGGGGGGGATGGTGACACAAAAGTCTACCCCCTCCCTCCACCGCCCAACCTTGGTATTGATTTCGCTCATAAATGTACTGCAGACTTTGAAAGTCCCACTGAATAGCTATGAAGATGAGAACAGCACTATTCCTGAAGAAAGGGGCAGATTGTGGTGGGTTTTTTTTCTTCCCTACTTGCTGGTTCAAAGACCTGAGGCAAGCCAAGTTTTTAAAACAGGTATATTGGGTGAGATCTCGTAAATAATGAGACGTGACCACAGAAAGTAAAGTGTTCAACCATAAGTATCACAAAGATGCTGCCTCTGTAAAATATTTAGCTCGTGAAAGGATGCAGACTGAAAAGAGCAGAGTTTAGGAAGCAGCCTTTTGCTGTACAACTGCTTGCACTCTAAAAGCAGTTATTATTTAAAAAAATTATTACGTAGGAGTACTTAGAGAGACTTTAAATGTCTTCTGCCCTGGTACTGATTAGCAGATCCTATTTCTCTCTCGTGTCGTGGAAAGTGCACATTTATATTGCAAACATCTAAGACATTCGCTCTCTTAAAGGCATGTAAAAATACTCTATATGGATGTTTTCACAAGTAGTGGGCTATAAGGTGTTTTCAAAATGACGCATCAGTATGCTGCTTGCCCAGCTTGATTAATTAAGAGTAGATCTTTAAAGATTTAAGCAGTCTGAATTTTCAGGAATATTGAGGTATTTGCAGAAGGGAGGCTT